TTAGCTAGCTGTTGGCGATGTTTTGGGGGGGTTTTTTTTTTTTTGCCTGCCTGCCCTCCCTTGTTGCGCTCGAGGGTGGGATGCTGGCTATTGAGTGAGTGCGGGCGGGTCCCGCCAACTCGGGGGGAGGAGCCATGTCAACGTACCATTGTCGAATTTATTGAAAGGGGTGAATAAGGAGTGTGAAGAAGGAATCGACGGGATGGGCGCGCGCAAGTGGTGACCGGTGACTGTGTGAATGGAAAGGCCGATGTAAAAGAAGGGTCGTGGGGGATTGTGGGAAGGAGGTCGAGATGAGGTAAGGCCAGTTAAGGTAGATGGGAGCTACTGTATTGGATCCTCCGATCGGGAAAATTGTCGTCGCGATTTCAGGGGACGAGGGCGCGCCTGTGCTGGACCTCTATGGCTGCGCTAAATGGAGCTGCCACGGTTGACTGAATGACTTGAGATGGACGGTGGACCTCTGCTGCTGCCAGATAGTTTCCCCTTGCACTTGGGAAGCTCCAGCCGCATGGCCTGTGCTTTCTCCCATTAGATAGTGGATCCTCTACATTCCCCAGCCACACTTGGATTTTTAGGTAACTCTTGCCTGGCGATCCTGTTGCGTCAAAGCAGCAGTAACTTTTCCAGCCCAGCAAAAAAAAACAAACGAGACTTCCAGCAACCGGCGCATCTCTGATTCAACTGCCGCCATTCCTCTGGGTCGCAAGATCCCCTGGCTTGATTCTCCATCATCCATAGGACTCTAGGGACGTGAGAACAGAGGCACGATGGCATCGGCAGACGTTGACTCCCCGAGCTTCGAGCGCCGCGAACGCGATGGCGAAATGGAAAACGACCGCGACGGCGGCGACCGTCGACACCACCACCGCGATAACCGCGACAACGATCGCCCCCGCAATCGAGACCGCGATCGCACCGATAGCTACCGCCCGGCCCCCAAAGAACAACGACGCCCGACGCCGCCGATGAAGACGGAGGAGGAGAAGCAGGCCATCGCAAAGGCCGAGTACGAGAAGATGCTGTCCATGCGGTCCGGAGGCACCTACATACCGCCGGCGCGACTGAGGGCGCTGCAAGCCCAGATCACGGACAAGAGCTCGAAGGAATACCAGAGGCTGATGTGGGAGGCGCTGAAGAAGAGTATCAACGGTCTGATCAACAAGGTCAACTACTCCAACATCAAGCACATCGTTCCCGAGCTCTTTGGCGAGAACCTGATCAAGGGCCGCGGCTTGTTCTGTCGGTCCATCATGAAGGCGCAGGCGGCTTCTCTTCCCTTTACACCCGTCTTTGCCGCCATGGTGGCCATTGTCAACACGAAGCTGCCTGCCGTCGGCGAGCTCCTGGTCAAGCGCCTCATCATGTCCTTCCGCAAGGGTTTCAAGCGCAGCGACAAGGCTGTCTGCGTTTCGTCCACGACCTTCTTGGCGCATCTTGTCAACCATCAGGTCGCCCACGAGAGACTTGCTGGTCAGATGCTCCTTCTTCTCCTTCACAAGCCGACGGACGACAGCGTTGAGATCGCCGTCAACTTCATGCGCGAAGTTGGACAACACTTGCAGGATATGCAGCCCGCAATCGCACTTGCGGTCTGGGATCAACTGAGGAACGTGCTGCATGAGGCGGATATCGACAAGCGTGTGCAGTACATGATTGAGGTCCTGTTCCAGGTTCGCAAAGACAACTTCAAGGACAACCCGCCTATCAAGGAGGAGCTTGACTTGGTTGAGGAGGAGGACCAAATCACACATATGGTCGACCTGGACGGTGAAGTCGACGTGCAGGATGGCCTCAACATCTTCAAGTATGACGCGGAGTGGGAGGAGCACGAGGAGGCCTACAAGAAGCTCAAGGCCGAAATCTTGGGCGAGGGCAGCGACTACGATGACGACGATGACGATGAAGATGAGAGTTCCGAGGAGGAGGATGACGAAGAGGAGAAGGCAATGGAGATCAAGGATCAATCCAACACCGATTTGGTAAACCTGCGCCGTACCATCTACCTGACGGTCATGTCGTCCATCGATCCCGAGGAAGCAGTGCACAAGCTTTTGCGGGTAAACCTCCCGGCTGGCCAAGAAGCGGAGCTGCCCTCGATGATTGTCGAGATTTGCTCTCAGGAAAAGACGTTCTCCAAGTTTCACGGTCTGATCGGTGAGCGTTTCGCCAAGCTTAACAGGTTATGGACCGGTCTTTTTGAAGAATCCTTTGCCGACTACTACAGCAAAATCCATCGATACGAGACCAACAGGCTTCGCAACGTTGCGCGCTTCTTTGCGCATTTGCTAGCAACCGATGCTATCGGCTGGCACGTCCTCTCCGTTATTCACCTCAATGAGGAAGAGACAACGAGTAGTTCCAGAATTTTCATCAAGATTCTCTTCCAGGACATCTCCGAGGAGCTTGGTATGGCAAAACTGCAGGCCCGGATGAAGGACGAGATCCTCCAACCCAGCTTCACCGGGCTGTTCCCGCGCGACAACCCACGAAACATTCGCTTCTCAATCAACTACTTCACCAGTATCGGCATGGGTGCTCTCACGGAAGCTTCTCGAGAATACCTCCAGAACATGGCCAAGCCGGCGTTACCTGCGCCACCGGCTGATGATTCCGACTCGGAGTCGGTGTCTAGCTACTCTTCGTACACAGGCTCGTCATACTCTCGCTCTCGATCAAGGTCGCGGACGCCTCGACGCGCCATTGACCGCAAGCGTGCCGATTCCAGGTCTCCTTCGCCCCGTGGACGGGCCCGCTCGTATAGCAGGGGTCGCAGCTCTACCAGATCTCGCTCCTACAGTCGTTCAGTCTCACCTCCCAGAAAGGGACGCCGCGATGACTCGTACTCGGCGAGCCCTCCGAGAAGACGCGGTCGCTCCGCCAGCTACTCAAGATCCCCTTCTCCGGCCCGAAATGGTCCTAGGGATCGTAGTCTCAGCGCGACACCACCACCTCGCCGGGTGGCCCGGAGGAACAGCTCAAGCGTCAGCAGATCTCCTCCCCCAAGGAGAGGACGGTCTATTTCGCGCTCTGCCAGCCCCCCGCCTGCACGAGGCGTACCTGTCCGCGGTCGTAGTCCAGGTCAAGAAGCCCGCCGCCCAGTCAGACGGAATAGTTCATCTGTGAGCAGCGCGCCGCGGAAACGCGCCCGCTACGACAGTCGGTCTCCTAGTCGGTCGCCGAGTCGTGCGTCGTCATATGATTCGCGTTCTCGCTCCCCCGTAGACCGTCGTGGGCCGAGAGATAGCCGCTCACCTGTTGCTCCGAGGGCACGAGATGGTGATAGCGCCTCAGCGCCCCCGCCGAGGGCGAGAAAAGGCGGTCGCGATGCGTCGCACTCTCGCTCGCCGAGTCCCCCGCCCAAGAGGTCGCTCAAGCGGGGTTCGCCGGATCGAGGTCGGGATTCGAGAAGTCCCATGAGCGCCAAGCGGAGGAGATATAGCGATTCGGTTTCGAGGTCGAGAAGCCCGCCGCCGCTGAAGAAGGGACGAAGATGAGTGGGGCTGAAAGGCATGAGCAGGCGAGAATGTGTAAAATGGATTCGCAGGGGTGGATGGAATGTCCATTGTCCAAAGCACGGCATGGGCCAGATTGTTATTTGTATAGCTATTCAGATTAGGAATGGGGGACGGTGCCAATGTCTATTGGTGAATTTGCTGCCTTGAGGCGGCTTCTTGACTCGCTTGCTTTCTTGTTACCGCGTGATCATCGTTGAATTGCTGAGGTAAAATGCAGCCCTAGAGTGTTCCTGTCTTGAATATGTAAGTCCAGCATGAGTACTTGCACGTCTAGCTGGAACCCTATCATATCAGAACGTGAGAATTATCCGTCAAAGCAAAACGAACGAACACACGACAACAACAACACCACGCAAAGAAAGAAAAAACGACGTGGGGAAGGAACTTGGGGAATATGCTGAATAGCCAGCTAGCAATTACACTATTGAAGCAGAAAAATCAAAAGAAAATGGTCGCTTGCGCGATCTATCGGGTGTTGTGGACGATCAGGGGATTGAACCCTGGGCCTCCCGCAGACGCTGAAGGTATGCAAAGCGGGCGCTCTACCACTGAGCTAAACGCCCCGAGGTGTTGGATGAAAGTCAGGCTCTGGTTGGGGCTCAAGTTTGGTGCGTTTTCTTTGGTGGAGTTTGGTCGGGTACTGGGAGGCGAGTTGTTGGGCAGCTGTTTTGGGCGGTCTTGATCCGCGCTGGAATTTTTTTCGTCGGGTTTGCAGCGAATTTTTTATTTGTAGAGTTATTTGCTTTGATTCTGTGTTTGATGTGTGAGTTAAGTTGTGCGGTCTTGTGGTGGTGCAGTATGGGTTGGGGAAGCCTTGGGTGGTTTGACGCACACCTTGAAAGTGCTGCGCCGGGCATGTGAGTTACTTACGAATCCTGAACGACAACTCAAGGCAATGGTCTGTATTTTGGTGCAGGATGTAAATGAGGTGCTTCCTTTGAATTATGCTGCGTTGTTGGTAAAGGCTTACAGCTGTCAATTCTCTCGGAATTGTAGCAGAGTGATTGTTTGTGCCTCGCTTCCTACCTCTTAACTTGTTGTTTGTCATAACTTGCGGCATGTCTATTGGCAAACAACAAACAGTACTAATATTTGTGATTCCATTTAAGAGCAGCTCCAGACCAGAATCCTTCAGTCCAAGCCAGGAATGCAGTCAGTGTTTCGCAGAGAGAAGTCTCCTACAGAATCGAACTGCCCCCTACATCGAGGGAGGCTTTCATTATACAAATCGCTATGAAGCTTTGGTAAACATGTCATGTCCCGTTCTAGAGAGGGAAACATACATCTCGTACATGGGATATCCAGACGCTAATCGCCTTCATCCACCAGAACTCGTGGTCGTCCAACCAACCCCCCTTTTCCTATCAAATACATCCCTGAGTTCGACCTCAGTTCACCAGCCATCTTGACAGAGCTCTCCCCAGTAGCCACATTGTCCTGGGCGGCATTACACATCGCGACGAACCCCTTCTTCCTCTTCTCTTACCCAAGAAGAACCTCGATTCGGTCCCTCGCAACCGCATCCCATACTCTCTGCACAACATGCCCAAGCCCCCTCCGGTAACACACCCCGCCAACCCTCTCCACCCAGAGCACATTGACAAAGTCCACAATCTCGTCCTCGTCCATATTATCCCGGAACGCATCCAGATCAAAGACATGACTCCCTCCCCTCTCGCTCGCCATCGACACGGCCACGAACTCGAGCTTCTCCTCCCCGGTATGGTTCGCCCCCTGCAAGCCCAACCAGCTATCGTGCGCCGTCACCACGCCGCACCACTTGCCCGTCCTCGACCAGATATTCCCCACCGCCAGCGGGACGCCGTACCCCCGTCCCGGCGCAACCAGTCCCGTGCCAGGCCCCGTGTTGTTCCCCGAGTTCACCGCGTTGGCCGCCTTCGCGTCAAGCGGCGCCCCGTTCTTCGCAATGGCGAAGTCGACGTCCAGATACGCCACCGTCGTGCTGAACGAAAGCAGCGTCGCGCTCAGCGAGAAATCCCCAAACGGCGACGTCCCCGCTCCCAATAACCCTTCCGCTCCCCCTCCTCCGCCAGCCATCTCCGCCACAGGCACCGGGTACCGAAACACAACCTCCGGGTCCCCCGCATACCGGAACCCGCCCCCGCTCCTCGACCAGCCAGCAGGCAACGGCACCGTCCTCCGATGCCTCCGATCCCGGTACGCCATCCCGTCATTCGGCAACGGCGTGTACGTCGCCCGGTCCGTGAGCTCATAACTCACCAACCCCCGCAACCGGAACGCATAAGGACTCTTGAACCGCCTCTCGGCGCCCCTCTTGCCCTGATGATGATGCGCCGGCGCCTCCTGGACGTAATCCGCCGCCGCCCGCCAGAGCGTCAAGTCCGCAGGCACACCGTCATAATGCCAACCCAGCCAGCTCCACGACGGCAGCGGATTCATCCCCGTCACGGGCTGCACCATCAACCGCCGCCGCACCATCGCCCTCGGCTGCCACAGCATCGCGACATCCAAAAAGCTCACCGGCATCCCAAACACAAAACCCCCCGCAAACGACCGCGACAGCACCGTCGTGATGCCCCGCAGCGCCCTCGTCGTATCCGACATGAGCGTCACCCGCCGCGCGCTAAACTCCATCGCGATCCGCGCGTACTCGTCCATGTCGGGCCACACGGGGTGCAAATACCCCGTCGCCGCAGGGAACGTCCTCGACAGACACTGGCCCCCGCCGCCGCCGTGCCTCCCCAACCCTCCGCCCTTGAGGATCTTGCTGAACCTGCCGCCGCCCCCCGCCGCGCCCGGTGGCCCCTGCCACGCGTCGCAGTGGCACTCCCACGTCACCGTCTCCTCGAAAACATACACCTTTCGCCGCGAGTACATACCCTCCTGCACCGTCCACGCCCGGCCCGCCCACCGCGACGAGAGCACAAGATCATCATGCTTCTTCCCCGCAGCGCCCCTTGGCGGTGGCGTCCTCCGCAACAGGCCCGTCAACCCGGACTCGGCGTCGCCCGCGGCCGCCACGAGGGTCATGTACGCATTCGCATACACATACGCCATATTCTTAACATACTCCTCCCTCTCCACATCATCATCCTGCACGATACAAAACCGATCGACCCAGAGGTACTTGATCCCCAGCTTCCTCGCCAACCACATGGCATCCAGAATCGTCTGCGGTATATCCGCATCATCCATACTCGCCGTCAGCACCTCCAGATTCTCCCGTAACGTCTCCACGGGACCCCGCGACGAAGGCAGCGGCGGCTCGTAGACGTAGCTGAGCGCGATATACCGATCCGTCGCCCTCGCGCGCACAAGACACCGGTTCACCGAGTCAATCAGCCATATCGGCCGCCACGTATCCGCAGGCGGACCGGAGCAGTGGTCGCCGTGCTCGGCGTTACACGTGTCGAGCCACTCGCGCACCCTGCCGACGGGGTTAAACGCCTTGCTCGCCGTCGAGGCGGACGACGCGCGGCGCGAAGGGAGCGTCGACGACGCGGCTGCGGCCGCGGCCCCTACGCCCGGCGGATGATCCCCTGCGCCGCGCGCCGCGCCCGACCGCGCTGCCGTCCAGGTGCTCATGAGGCGCTCCGTGATGCTCTGCCTTTTCGCGCCGTTGTTGGCGCTGTTGGGGGGTACGCTCTGCTGTCTTCTCGCGTGGCCGTTGACGTTGCTGCGGCCCCCTTCTCCGTGGTACTTTTCGTCCGGCGCGAAGCTCTGTCGCTTTCGTTCCCTTATGCGAGGGCTGTCTCGTAGGCGGGGGCTATCTCTCAGGGGAGGGCTGTCGCGCAGGCTTCTGTCGCTGTCTCTGTCTCTGTCCTGATCTCTGTCGTAGTCCCTGTCCCTGTCCCTGTCCCTGTCCCTTTCTCGATCCCGATCCCGATCCCTATCCAGTGGCGGCGATGGCGGCAGTCCTCCTCCTCCTCCTCCCCGTCGCTTCGGTTCCGGCCCCCGGGATCTATCCCTGTCGCGATCCCTATCCCTTTCTCTATCCCGATCACGATCCCGCAAGTCACGATGCCGTTCCGAACGAATATTTCTCTCCCTGCTTCCTCTCGGCGGCGGCGGAACGTGCTGCTGCGACCGCCTCTGCGGCGGTGGCGTAGGCGTCTCGGGTCTATATCTGCCGCCAGCAGCCGTAGTATCGCCGCGGTGATGCTTCTTGTTGTCGTGGTCGTGGTCGTCACCTGGATCCTCCTCATCCGACATTGAACTGGCCGAACTTTCGTCGTCGGATATAATCTCTACGCCAGCTGGCACATCTCCTTCTCGTCTGGTCGTCCCTGCTGGAGGTGGTGGTGCTGCTGCCGCACCGCTGCTGCGGTCGGCGGACGGACTCGGGTGGTCCATTTGTCTTATAATCTGTCCCCCCCTTTCACCTCACTTTTTTCTCTCTCAAAGCGCAAAGGTTCCCTCTCTTCTCCCCGTTCCGTCGTATGAGAATTGCGCGACTGCTGCAGATGCAAGCTGTAAATTGCAAATTGCAAATTGCGCGGCCCCTAATGCGCTTGCAGCTGCGTTGCGCTCGCCGGGCTAGAGCAGTCGCCCTGCTTTGGTTCCGCAGCAACGGGAATCCGATCTTTGGGGTAAACCTGTTCCTAGTTCCTACTCTGCCTCCCTCACGAAAAGAGGTCTGTTCCTCTTGGCCTTTTTTTGCTATTGCGCCGTGACACTAGTGAAGTGTGGCTCGGTGAGACCGTGCGAAACGGAGGTTTTCTTACGGGAGGGCGCGGGAAGTTCTGATATGCAGGGCAAAGACGAATCACGGGCGTTGCGCTGATGTTGAAAGTCCGATGGACGACGATGATGATGATAATGAGGTGTTCGATTGCTTGCGATGAAATGAGATTAGAGATGGATGAGATGAGATGAGAAGTTCGTGGTGTGTGTGTATTGCGACGAGAACGTGAAAAGATTGGTTTGCGACAGCGTTAGTACGCGCAACGCCACGCAACGTCAGTGAGACTTGACTGCGAAGTGAGAGGTGCTGCTGCGGCGCGCGAGATGAGTGTGTGAGCAGAGAAGGTGAGAGGTGAGAGGTCGAAAAAGGCACCGCCACCCCCGGCCCGACCCAACCTCGATCGTTCTCCCCAGCCCCCTCTATTAAGCCAAATTAACAAGACACATTGGGCATAAAAGTCGATGCTCTTTTTTTTTCCACGATGGATTAAATCAATGGTTGGGCTGTCATAATTTACAGGGCCATTCCCTACCTGATGATCTCCCAACATCTAATTAGCCGAAGCACGTCAATACCCAAAAAGCAATTGACTCATGCAAATGTGGATGGATGACAGCTGAATGCCTGTGTATGTATGTACGGAGTAACCGCACAACGTCAAACATCACGATGGCGGCAACCAGGCAATTAGAATACACATCATGTGTTCAAGTCCATCGTACTCACATCTATTAAAATACATTTGCTTGCTAGTCTAACAAACTTCGCAACGGGTCTCTGCCATCGTCAACCGGGACAGAACCTTCTCCCCCCTTCGTCGCCATCCACCACCATTCAACTAATTCCCTCTGCGGCCTGATTTATGGCCCATGGTATTTGTATCGAGTGCCATTCCCGCCGTTACCTTTACACGTTCCAAAAGCCTCCCAATCCTGTACGCCTTGTAAATGTGCAACAGTCTTTGATGTTTTCGCAGTTGAGTAGACCACCGCGTTGCGTTTGCGTTGGTCGCCTCTCGACTGTATGCCATCGCCATTTTCTTTTTAGCATCAAACCCTCGAATGAAAAAAAAAAAAAAACCTCAAACGTCATTGAACGTCAACTGTGATCACTGAAACGTCGAAAACAATAAACCCCCGTTCGGCTATTCCTTGTCGCTTTGCGCGCCGTTGCTGGCTCCGTTTGCCTCCTTGGCGCCGTTGGAAGCCGAAGAAATCAGCTTGATCCTCGTTGTGGATGTTGCTGGTTGAGGCGTTCCGGCGCTCGCACTTGCACTGGGCGCTACCGAGCCCTCCTTGCCGCCATCGCTTTCCAGCTCCTGCAACTCTGGATGCTTGTCGAGAGCTTTCTGGAGTTCTTCGTGGAAGAATCTCTGCGCCGGAGTTAGTTAATGGTCAAGTATGTAGAGTCAAGATTCACTAACCTGAAGAGTAAGGGAGTCCTGGTACAGAAGCGATGCCTCCTCGTTGTAAGTCTGGCAGTTGCGGAACATGAGGTCGACGTCCTTGCGCATATCGCCGAGGCTGTGGTACTGCTGCTTCTTGATCTTGGTTTCAATCTGCTTCATCGAGATGGGGGCCAGAATGATCAAGTAGTAGTCGGCGTAGTCGCGCTTGGGTGGTAGCGCAAGGAAGGGCCCAATGATGATTCGCTTGCCCGCAACCGACTCGTCATCATCCTCCTCTGGTGGCTCCGGATCATCTACCTCAAGGTTCATGAGTCCGTCGAATAGAGCCCGCGTGTTGGCCTGGAGGAGTTGGCGTTGCTGAGCCGAAACTCGCGGCGTCTCGGACCCAACAGAAACGGACACCGCCTTTGCTCTACCTTGCGGGCCACGACGCTTCTTAGCCGGAGGCTCATCGTCCCCTTCTTCAGCCTTGCGCTTCTCCTGGTTCTTTGCAGCTCCTTTGCCTCGGCCTCTCTTCTTGGGAGTTTCCTCCACCTCCTCAGTACTGGCACGGCTCGCAGGGGGAGAGTCGTCAGCCGCGTTAGACATGCCGGACCTCTTGAGCCTGTTAGTCTCCCGCTTATCTTTGCGGGCTTGCTTTCGTGCTGCTGCCGCCTCTGGTGAGTCGTCATCGTCATCGACAGCCATGAGCCACTGCTCTTCCGTGAGACCGTCATCGTAGCGAACCTTAGTTCGTTCACGAGCTCCACGTCCAAGACTTGTCTCAATCTCCTCCTCAATCGGGTTGCCATCGCCAAGGTAGATATCAGGAAGTTCATCCTCCGCCAGGAGACGAGGCTTGGCGTTTGCTCCAGCTGCCTCGCCATAAGTCTTATCTTGCTTCCGCTCCTCGTCGAGTTTCTGGAAAACGCCAACTTCATCGTCGCTACGAGCGAGGAGCAAATTCAGCTCCTCGTCGTCCATCTCGTCCTGATCTCCAGTTTCCGCCATGTCGGCGGTTTCTAGGAGGGTACGCAACATGGCATCACGATCTGTCTCCGTCGACTTGTTGTCGAAGCGACCGGCTTGGATGACCTTGCCGTCCATGTCGAGCTTGAATCTGGCTCTCTCCAAGATCTTCTCCTCAACCGAGTTGGAACTAATGAGACGAAGAATTCGCACCTCGTTCTTTTGTCCGATACGATGAGCACGATCCTGGGCCTGCAAATCTTGATGAGGATTCCAATCGGAGTCGTAGATGATGACAGTGTCAGCAGTCTGCAAGTTCAGACCAAGACCACCGGCACGAGTCGACAACAAGAACATGAAGTAGTCCGAGTTGGGAGCATTGAACTCGCGCAGCAAATCAGAACGCTCGTCTGACTTGGTCGTACCATCAAGACGAAGATACTTGAGGTTGCGGTATCTGAGGTAGTCCTCCATGATGTCCATGATGGCCGTCATTTGGAAGAACATGAGAACGCGATGGCCCGTTGCCTTGTACTTTGGCAGGATTCTGTCGAGAAGCTCAAACTTGCCGGCTGTTCGCCATAGCAAGTCGTTACTGATGCTCATAGGATTCATGAGATTCTCGACCTCACCAAACACAAACGGATGGTTGCAAAGCTTGCGAAGCTGCATAATCATGTTGCTCAGACCGCGAGCACCAGCTTTGCCACCCTGTCCGTCGCTGACGAGGATCCTGTTGTGCGTGACCATCTGCTTGTAAAGCTTGGATTGCAAGGCAGAGAACTTGCACTTGATGACCTTTTCGGTCTTGTCCGGGAGATCCTTCTCGACATCCTTCTTCAGACGACGAAGCAAGAAAGGACGCAGCACCTTGTGCAGACGACGAATGACGAGAATCTGTTCTTCTTCAGTGAGTTCCATCTTGTCTCCTCCACCAGTGTTGGCAAAAGGTGTGTTGAACCACTCGTCGAAGGTTGTTGCAGACTTGAAAATTGTAGGGAGCGTGAAGTTAAGCATGGCCCACAGTTCAGTAAGGTTGTTCTGAAGCGGTGTACCAGTCAAGATGAGGCGGAATCGGGTGTTGTAGTATTGCTGGATAGTGGTCGTCAACTTGGAGTTCTGGTTCTTCATGCGGTGACCTTCGTCGATGATCATGTGGAACCACTTGATCTTGCTGAGAATTGGTCGATCCTTGATGATGTATTCGTACGTCGTGAGCAGCACCTGGAAACGTCCTTGGCGGATCTTGTCCTGATGCACTTTTCTGGCCAGGGGAGGACCCTTATAGACGATCTTGCTGACGGAAGGCGCCCACTTTTCGAACTCGAGTGTCCAGTTGGTCAAGGTACTGAGAGGCACAATGACCAGGTAGGGGCCGTCCTGCTTCTTGCGCTCAATGAGATACGTGATCAAACTGATGGTCTGGATAGTCTTGCCGAGACCCATCTCGTCGGCAAGAATACCGTTCAGGTTGTTGTTGTACAGAGAAATCATCCACTGCAGACCCTTGACCTGGTATTCCTTGAGCTGACCACCCACTAGCATATCGGCCTGTTCTGTGACCTCTTCCTTGATGCGATGGGCAACAGCGTAGTAGTCGATCTTCCGTCCGCTTGTGTCGTCGTCATCCTCTTCGGGTTCGCTCTCTTCCTCCTCCTCTGGCAACTCCTCCTCGCCAGTCTGCTCCAACAGGGCCTTTCTTTGCTGAGACTTGACGGAAGCAGCGAGCTGACGCAAGAATCCATCAGTCTGCCTAAGAAGATGGGTAATGCGAGTATCCTTGGCCTCGTCGAGCAACTTGAGATAAGCCTCTTC